CAGTAAGCTCGCGGAATCATAGGTTTATCCATTGGTGTCTCAATGTTGACATTGCTTATCCCCTGCCACCACCGGAGTTGTCCCCCGAGAGAGATTGACAGTAGACAGCTGTAAGCGCATTGATCCTAATCTCCGTTTCCTAAAAATGAACCCACATTCTATTCTAGATTAAGTCGTCCGCTATTATAAAGCTCCCGCTAGCTCAACATGGATGGAGCCGTTCGACAATTGAGACAGTCGAGCTTTACATTCTTCATTGAGACGGCTTATTTTTCCTTTCGAATATAGATAGATAGATGAGTTCGAGTTGCAGAGCTTTACAGTTCTGGCAGCCAAAGTGGCTTGATGCACCCAAACGAAAAAATCAGAGATTACAAAAGATCGAGCTCAATAAACACCCGAGTGCTTGCTAGTCACATCACTAGATATCCTGAGCCCGTTTCTGTAGTATTTCTTGTCACAATAAACTACGGTCAAAGAGAGGAATGAGCTTCGTTCGTTTTTCGACCGCAGGAATTGGAGTGACAACAGGGCGGGCTCACAAGTAAGAGACTACGTGGGGACATACTTAAAAAGGTACTCTGTGGCATGGCTGGCCAGACTTTTGCCAAGTAAGTGTCACCTCGTTTTGGACATTTGGTCCTGTGTATCACAAAAGGAGGGTATCCGTGAAGCCCGACGCGCCCCTGACATTTCAAGAAAATGTTACCTGTGAACTTCCCAGTCCTACCCCAAAACTTCGTCTCTATCCCCAGTGGTCAATACGTGCCAGCTACCTCGGCACCAGTCGCTGTAAGGAGCTTCATTATGTAGTATTTTAGCGTGAGAGGACGGTGGAGATTTCCGCCATTCGGAATGTCGACAGTAAAGCACGCCTGAAGCGGAGTATGTAGTTGTTTTCGAGCTGTTTCGTGATGGTGACGCCTTCTAGCTCTACCTGTGGCGGAATTCCAGACATCATGATCGGGAGAATTGAGTTACTGTGTTAGGGAGGTGCTCTACGGTAGGACTTCTGTATCTGATTAAACACTGTCTTGAGTTGAGTGATTACTTTACGTAGATCAGCTGAGAATAACACTAAACAACGGGTCATCATTGCGCTCAAGACGTTCAGGAAGATTTTCTATAGAAGAACAAAGGCGGCGCTCGAAATGAAAGCTGAGCTTGCCATTCGATATTTGGCCAGTGGTGCGTTGATCATCAAGAACAGATAAAATTACGCAAAACATAATGTGACCGTGACAAGAAGCGGTCGGGAGCATCTTGCATATGACATGCTCACAGCAAGAAAACCTGCACATGATTCCATTTCAGAACGGCAGGGTTCCGTAGCCGACATAGCTAGCCAGAATGCTACATCCCACGGACAGCTAGAACCACATCGTTTCGATACGCTCCAGTCGAGAACGCTCTCCGGGAAATGATAGCTAGCCACGGTGCCATTGTATATATTTTGTTAACCTCGCATTCTCATGAATGATGGAACGCTATCATTCCGTAGTACAAACGTAGTACAGTCGTGCTTGTCTTATTGTACCTTATATGTATTCAGGTCAATACGAGCAAAATCATCTATAGAGGAATCCTTATCCGGCAATGAATCTCGAGAAGATGATCGAGCACTTTGGGTTGCTCTTTTCAAGGGCAGCATAAAAACTTTTAAATTCGCGACCCTTACTTACAGAGAGCAGCTGATTGGTGCCATGTGTTGGAGTTCTTCGAATCAACCTAAGAATTTCATTGTTGTTCCCCGCTTGAAGTGAAACCAGAAGTTTTCAAGGTTTTGAGACTAGAGACTTGTTCGAGGGCCCTGGGCGGCCACCAAGAGAGTGCTCAATGATCAATCGATGACCCGTGATGACGCAAGTACAGGACGTCACTGACCTGCCCTCAAGGGTTTCTGCCCGGCAGGCAAAACGTCGGATCTGAATGGCTCTTCGCCTCCAGTCGTTCCCCTTTTTTTCTTTCTTCAAGCCGATTCTAAAGCTTAGTGCTGCTTCTCTGTCCTTTTACGCTTACTTCTGATCCCGAAACATCGGTCAGCAATGCGGCACTTCTAGCACGCAAAGAACAAGTTACAAGGCCAACCGAAGGGATTTGGAAGGATATGGCGCGGCTCTCAGTATGCTCTAGACTCTGAATTGTTATGATACTCTTCAATGTCGACTTTCTCTTTTGCGTTCATTTTCTGCAATGTTAAGACGCCAAGGGCTTGAAGTTTTGGCACCTGGAAGATGCGGACCCGGACTTTCGATTATTCCATCTCCTTCTCGTTATTTATCGCTCGTACTCCCCGAGCTTTGCTGTTTCATTCAAGACGTGTTGTCTTTCGTCTTATTCTCCAAAAACCCTTCTACATTCAACTTAATTTCCCTTTGACGTGACCTCGCGCGCATGCCGTTCACAAGCGTTCATACTCATCTAGTTGTCGTCCCCTGTCCTTTTCTACCATCACCGCTGGCTTATCTAGGCTGACATGCTGGGTTTTCCTCCACCCTCGGTCTCCGTTATGTTGTCCTCTCGCTGGAAAGGGGAATGGCAGTAAAATCTGGAGTACCTGCATCCACTTTCAACCTAATCATTCCTTAATCTAGCTTTCCTGAATTTTGCAACTGTCTCTTTGCCAACAGTATCACCAGTTGTTCGAGCGTTCGCTCCGTCTTTGTCTCTGATCGTCGATGAGCGCTCAGCCTTTGTTCTCGCTTTCGCACATCCAGTTTCTGAACTCTACTACTTTTTTTATCATGTTGTGCGTTGCCTCCCAATCCCGCCGCTCTCGTCTTTGTATTCATCTCGTCGTATCTTACCTTTGACGTGAAACTATCGGAAATGCCATACTCAAGCCTCTATTCACTCTGGATATGGTTGTTCACTTCATGTCCCCTTCCTTCCGAGTTGATTCACTGAAGCTTACACTCAATTTTACTTGACGTTGGTTTCTGCGAAGTTGCGAGTTTGCTATAAACGGCCTTGAGTTTCTTCATTCGAGGATCAACTACGGTATAAGACTCTTGAACCAACCGAGCGTTTCTGGTGGGTCGTATTTTCATTTCACTGTTTACCCATCCAGGTTGCTTCCAGCCTTCTATTCGCCTCCGATCTACCATAAGCAGCCTTGTATGTAGTACTCTACATTTTGTTATACATCATTCGGCCACCTCGCCACTCCCTTATCCGAACGACGTGTCTTGCACTTCTCGTTCCGCCGAGTGGTCAGCGCCGATGCATTCCCATTGCACTAGCCCGGGGAAACAATATTAGCCTCGATCGATTATTCTTCTAACTTCGGTAGCCAGTTATTCGGGCCTTCGAGACACGGTAGCTGGGTTTCATGAAAGGCGAAATTGCTGGTGGCAGATGATCAATGCCCACGAGTGCATTCATTCGGACAACCATTGAACAATGAGGCCTGCAAGGTAAAAAAGTACGAGCCATCGAACGTGATGCCAAGTCCGAAGTGCGCTAGATCAGGTGTTAGAGATAGACGTTGGGCGAAGACTCAAAACACGAGGCATTCTATGCGGCGTTAGTGGCTCCTTGAAACGACTTTGGTTCATTTGCTGAAAGGTGCGCTACTAGTGCGGTTTTTCTGCTTTTCTCCACCTCAGTCAATCCCCAGTCCCATTCGCATAATCAGCGCATATCTAGCCGAACGCTGTCTCGCATTAGCCACACATCCCAAGGCCTGAATGAAAGTCACGTAGTCGTCTCACAAACACCTTTCCCCAACATCGTTCCCACCAAATACACTAGCCTATCTACCCTCGAGATGGAAATGGAATCGAACGAAACCGGCACCTACTCTGTTCCCCGCCTTTTGCTCTTCCCATCTCAAGCTCATAAAACCGCATTACACGCCACCCCCTCAAAGTCGGACATGATGAACATTCATTCTGTTTGAGCTTCTAGCGCGTCTACTACTCCGAGTCCAGCATTTCGTCGTACAGAAGAGCAAACTTCCCTTTTATCCCTCTGCTCTTACCGCTTTAAAGCACTCATTTGCCTGCCTTAGTGGCATCTCTCTATCACATTTCTCGATAACCAGCAAAGCCGGATGTTGCCGGTAATTAGACTGTTCAACATTCAAGTTCAATCCTGAACACCACTGGCTACTTCTCGGACTACCAGCCACGACGGTTCATTCGACGTCGAAAATGTTCGCTGGTGAGACCTCACATTTCCTGCTCGTCATACATGTGGTCGGGTACATTCGGCCTTATCACTGGCCACCATCACCAAGCCCCCCTCGGACGCTACGTACCAGCAGCATGGGGTATGTGCGCTGCTTTTTTACTCTCTATCTCTGCCCGCTTCGGTGCTTCAGCTTTCTCTTGGCGAGGGAGGGGATGTGTGGAGAGTCAGGTGTTTCAGAGGCTAGCTGGGCGGAAACAAACGACATCGTGATGGTTGTTGCATGGGAGCAGAGATAAACTTGAAATACTGTGATGATCATTTGTAGGGAGTAATGGTCGTCGTGACTCGTCGAATTGTATGGATTGACTCGTGAGTAACTCACCTCGACTTCATTAACCTGATTAAACGTGGCTAACTCCCATTCATTCCAGATATTCAACTCGGCGTACCCCTGTTTTGGACTCCAGGCTGCTCCACTTTCCCCGCTTTCTACACAGCTCAATGGCTCGTTCCCATGTACTTACCACTCCCTCCCCTTCATCTTTGTCCCCGCCTCATGAGGTAGTTGTTATGATATCAATGACCATCAACTCGACGTATCTGAAACCAGACATCCAATAGGTTTGTTTACGCTCCTACATGCACTACCGTCCACGTCTGGTAATACTGTTCGACCTCTTTATTAGCATCTCGATATACATTGACAGCCGAGATCTCGATGTCTTTCTCCCTGCTTGCACCAATTCCAATTCATGGGCTGACATGGGGTGACACATACACCTCCGCTACTCAAATTGCTCTCAACCTGTCGAGGTCCAATGAGTGTGAGCGGGGTTGTGGCCAGTTGACGGCAATATAGGGAATAAGGCGAGATGGCCGAGTGGTCTAAGGCGCCAGACTAGGCTCCAGGATTCTCAAAGGTTCGAATCCCAATCTAGTCAATGTCAACAATCAGTTCAAGGCCAGTTTTTGACCGTGGTCATTTGAGCTTGGCTATACTTTCGTGTCTCTTTGATGATCGGGTGAATGTAGGTCAAGGCCGAGGCCTTCAGCAGACCGTCATTAGGAAAAAAAAGATGTATGGTTGAGCTCTGATGGCAGTTTGCATTGCACTGAATAAGATAATAGTGCCTTTTACGGTGGTGGTGTGTTATAATCAGTGCTGATTCGGGTTGCGATGAGCCCACAGTCTAGCTTAGTAGTAGGCCGAGTTCCCCACCTGTCCTAAACTTGAAGAGAAGCACCCCAACATTGCTGATCATTAGCACAAATATTGTGGACTTTAAAGGAAAGCTCCTGGAGATCGCACTAATCCGGGCCTTGCCACCTGAATAACATCAGCGGTATCATACTGAGCACTATGAGGTATCACAATCCAATTGCTTAATGTGTATACCTGGTATGATATCCAAAAATAATTGAGTTGAGTGGTTTAGACTAAGTACCAAATCCACTGCACACCTGTTGAACATGTGAATACCATGTGATATACTTTATTGATGTGTTGTTTACATGCCTATTATTTATAGACTCTTTCACTATGACACTTGCACTTGTATGAAAGATCCTGTACTTACTAAGATGGACTCTGTAGTTAGTCAGTACTCACACCTTATCTCTATGGTTCATAACAAGGTTCAGCTTTGCACCCAATACCATGACTGAGCTTTCTCCCTAGATTACTCAGATAGAAAGCTAGTATAACTATGCCTACTTACTCACTCTGCTTTTCAAGCACTTATGCTTACTGATATGCAATATATACCATATGTTATATTCTCACTTACCTATGTTCTATGACTTGTAGATAGACAAGGACTCTTGTATAAAAGCTGGAGACTTTGCGTCTCCAAGCTTTAGGACAATCTACTCAATTATCACCTCTAGCAAGCATCTGCAAGAACACAAGAATTCTCTTATAGTCAATATGTGAGGTTTTAGTTTCTTCTCACTGTGCATTGAACTATGCTGGCTCAATAGCACCCCTCTCTTATGTTGTTTGCTCCTGTACACTATCCATTTACTAGAACTAGCCATCAAATTACTTGAATTGTGTCTTGTGTTACGAATCTACCTATTGTTTTCCCTTCCCTTGGTCCCTGGGTACTTTTTCCCCATGTTTTTCTCTTTATTTCCCATGGTTACATGTTCTCACCATCGCATTCTGGCCTCCATATCATTACCTGGTACTACCTGGTGTTCCACATTGTTTCCAGATATTTTCCCAGCATACCATATGGTTTCCACTATGACCCTGTTTCCACATGTATCCCTTGATTCTTATCACTTGTTCTTTCAGTTTTCCTCTTTTATCTTCGTTCCCATGATATCTCTACAGCTTGGCTCTGTCATATATAATCATGGACACTTCTAGATAGTTCTCCAGTCTGACAACTTCGTCTTATAGTGCCTGTATCCAGCATGTACTATCATACACTTGCCCTACTCAAATCTATCTTCTCTCCTTCGCACTCTTGACCCTGTTGGTGGCCTGAGGGGCTTTCCTAGTCACTGGCCTCGTTCTAAGTCGGTTGTTTACAATGTCGACTACAATATTGAGCACAGACACTTTGGGCATCCATTGGATAAAGCCCGGAATAAAGCTCGGAAACATACACAAGGTTTCCCACTTGACCTAAAAATGCCTACTAAGAAGACACCTTTGTGTCATGGTTGTGCTGAAGGCAAGAATCATGAGAAATCGTCCCCCAACTCCACTACAAGAGGTTCTGAACCGTTTGAGCACATACATTTACATACATTTGGATCTGAAGTTGTACCTGGTAGAATCATATTACTGGTACAAGTACTACATCTCTTTTCTCAATGACTGCACATTCTACGTTTGGACCTCCAAGCTCAAGATGAAAGATGAGGCAGTACCCGCTTTGAGGGACTTTCTTACTATGGTCAAGCACAGTTCAATGCTGTTGTCAAGACCTGGATGTCCAATGAAGGGGGAGAGTACAAAGGAGACAAGTTTGATGCAGTACTGAAAGAGCATGGGATCCTAAGGGATCAGAGCATATTGTACACTCCACAACAGAACGGTCATGCTGAATGATTCAACAGGACAATTCATGAGAAGGCCAAAGCTCTTCAGTTTGAAACTTGTATGCCTCAGCCCTGGTGTGAATTCTGCCATGTGCACACCATCCACCTCTACAATCGCACTCCTGTGCAATTTTTGAGCTGGTGAACTCCATTTGAAATGCTTTACAATGAAGCACCTGATCCTACATCTTCATTCTTGAAGATGATAGAAAGAACAAGCTTGGTCCTCATGGCGAGTTGATGACCTTCATTGGCTACCAAGAAGGGATGAAAGGCTTTCTCTTCATGCAAAGCAATGATTCCGTATTCAAAGATAGTACTGCACTATTTGATGAGACCTTGTATTCCAAGTGTCCTGATCCCAAAACTCATGGCTTCACACCTGTCAGTAGTGAACCATTTACTTTGGGTGAAAATCCCAACATTCCTTTGGAAGATGAAGACTCTGATGTTGCCACTCCCTCAATCTGGTTCTCTGATGCCTCCAGGCAAACCTGCCATTCCTCTGCCTGCACCAGCAGCGGATGGTCCACGCCAGTCTTCGAGGCAGCGAAAGGGTACAACGCAACCTGGTAATATATTTGGTGAACAGTGGAACCCAAATAAACCCTGAGATATTGTTTGCGACTTAGATAATAAAAAAACTTGGAGAAACGTCACTGGAGATAAGGAACCTCTGCATCCAGTTGATTGTCCTGGCTCTTTGCAATCTAGGAAAGGCAAAGGTGGTAAAAAGGGGATTCCTGGTCCACTTCTGCCTCCACCTGCTCCAGAACCTGGTGGAAGCACCACTGAGTCACATGAGGAAGAAACCATAGTTGAAAGACTTACCCAAGAAGGGGGAGTAGGATTCGTGATTTACCTGCTGAACAATGCCATTCCAGTTCATGATTTACTTCCAATGTCTGATACTCCTGATTTTTCTAACATCAGAGAGTGGACACTCCACAATATTCTAAGGTTGACTGTTGAGCAACAGAAGGAATGGAAGAACACTCACCACAAAGAGCTTGAGGCTTCGTAAGTGCAAGGTCTTCAAACTCTGTGACTTGACTAAAGGTCGCAAAGCCATCAGAAGTAGATGGGTCTTCAAGGTCAAGTTGAATGGTTGTAAGAAAGCTAGACTTGCTGCCAAGGGTTTCTCTCAGGTCAAAGGTGTCAATTTTAATGAGATCTTCTCACCAGTTGATTGTTATGAGACTGTTTGTATGATGCTTGCTCCCGCAGCTCTCAAAACCTGGTACATCACTTCTGTTGATGTAAAGAACGCCTTCCTTTACAGCAATCTTGTTGAGGAGATATACATGGAACACCTGAAGGCTTCAAAGTCAAGGGTCAAGAATGTAAGGTACTACGCCTGTGTCATGCATTATATGGACTGTAGCAAGCTGCCCTTGAGTGGTGGTGAGCCCTCAGCTCATTCATGGAAGTACTAGGCTTCAAACACCTGACTTCTGATGCTGGACTCTTCATCTGTAAAGATCTGAAGAGTGGTGAAGTTGTGTATGCAATCATATATGTTGACGATGCACTCTTCATGGGTCCTAACAAAAGAAGAAAGCCGAGTTCATGGCTTGATGGGAATGCCGTGATATGGGCAATGCTAGCGAGTTTCTCTGCATGAGCATTCGTCGCGAAGGCAATAAGATCATGATTGACCAGAAGGATTATCTGAAGAAAGTCCTTGAACATTTTGGGATGCAGAATGCAAAAGGTGCTCCAATGCCCTTACCTGCAGGCTATGTGCCAACTCTTAACGATGGTCCAGTCAATCCTGCCATTTGTTCCAAGTTTCAGTCTGTGATTGGGTTGCTTCTGTACATTATGCTGGGCACACGTCCTGACATTGCCTATGCAGTCACGAAGCTTTCCCAGTTCTCTTCTAATCAAACAAAGAAACACCTTGATAAAGCTTTGTATATCTGCCGTTATCTAGCTGGCACATCGGGTTGTTCACTTGTCTACAATGGTGAGTCTGATGGAGGTCTTCTTGCGTTCACAGACTCAGATTGGGCTGCTGATCCCATCAAACCCTGTTCGATCACTGGTGACTTCTTCAAGTTAGCAGGTGGCATCTTCTTGTGGCAATCACATACCCAGAAGACTGTAGCTCTTTCTTCCACTGAGGCTGAGTATGTGGCACTGTCAGATTGCAGTCGTCAAGCTTCCTGGATAAGATTGCTACTCTCTGAGCTTGGAATCAACTTGGGTCCTATTCCAATCTGCAGTGACAATCAAGGCTCTTCATTGCATCTAATGCGGTTCAAGAACACTGAACCAAGCACATTGATATCCAATATCACTATATTTGATCGTATGTTGAAGATGGCAAAGTTGAGTTGTTCTTCATTGAAGGAGTCTATAATCCTGCAGACATGTTCACAAAGAATCTCAGTCATGAGAAGTTCTTATGGTTCAGAGATCCCCTTGGACTTGAATTCTATTTGTCCACTTGATTCTCTCAGATGCACTTTTCAGCTGCACTTAGCAAGGGGGTCCGCCACTTCCACCTCCGCTTCCGGGACTCTTTCCATCTTATTCACCCTTCTTAAAAATCTGTTTGCATAAGTTGTTGGAGATGTTGAATCTGTGGACTATAATTAGATCCCGGTATATCCGAAGTCCCGGTTCATACTTCCCGCCATTGTATTATGCGGGACAATGCATTTGCTATTGTTCCATTCTTCATTGTTCTATATGCTCATATGTACAATTCCTATTGTCGTCCCTATATGGTAGTTTTATTGTCTCTACATGTATATAAGCTCGTAGTTCTCTACATGAATCGACAGTGTGCTTGAGCTTCTACGTCTCGCCTCTATCTCTCTAAACTCCTCTCTGGTAAGTAGTAGTGTTGCCATGTTATAGTCCTCTGAGCTAGACGTCA